CCCCACACTGTCTTTTATATATGGTATATATAAAATCCAGGCTCCTAAGATGCCTGATGCTAGGCATGGTGTATATACCCATAATCCCAGTGCCTGAGAGGTGGAGGCAGAACCATCCATCTCCAGGTCAAGACCAGTCTGGAATACATTGCTAGAGTAGGCCAAGCAGGTATACACAATGATACTCTGCCTAGACTCTCTCGTGTGTCAAAAAATAGGCACACAAAAATATATACCTCATATGTTCTTTAGGGAAATTTCAAAACACCTAGAATTTTCTTGACAGTGGATATTAAAAATGATCATTAGAATATTATTGCTATTAGTTATGATTGTTTGAAAAACACATTTAATATAGAGGAATACAGGCTGGAGAGATGGTTCAGCAGTTCAGAGCACTGGCTGCCCTTCCAGAGGACCCAGGTTCAATTTTCACCACTTACATGGTGACTCTCAATGGTCTGTAACTCCAGTTCCAAGGGATGGGGCCCCCTCTTCTGGCCTTTGAGGGCACTGTATGAAAGTACCCCCAAAGATTTACATGCAAGTTAAACACCCATACACATAAAAAATAAAATGAAAAAGTTAAATATTAAGATAAAAATTGCCTTCTGGGCCAGGCATGGTAGCATACACCTTTAGTGTTAGCATTTGGGAGGCCGAGGCAGGTGGATGTGAGTGTGAGGGCAGCCTGGTCTACCTAATCAGTGATAGTCCTGCCAGGACTACATAGTGAGACACTGTCTCAAAAATAAATAGGTAAATAAATAAGTATATACATAAATTGCTGCCCTCTAACCCTGTTGCTTCTCTGATGTGCTGGGTGCCATGTGTAGGTCACAGGCTATTGTGACACTGTTGGTCACTAATGACTATCCCAGTACCTCTATTCTTCAGGCACCCAGGAGTTTAAAAAAAGATCTGTATTTTTTTAAGGTGTGTGTTTTGCTGATATGTGTCTGTGTATCGTGTGCATGCCTGGTGTCCTTGGAGGCCAGTTGAGGACTTACAAGTGGCTGTAAGCTGCCATGTGAATGCTGGGAACAAAAACTGGGTCCTCTGCAAGAGCATCAAGTGCTATTAACCTCTGAACCATTGCTCCAGCCCCAGGAATTCTTTTTAAAAAGTCCTTTTATTTTAAATTATGTATATACATGTGCAGCTGAATGTGGGTGTGCACATGTGAATGTAGATACCCATGGAGCCCAGAAAAGAGCATCAGATCACTTGTCGCTGGACCGACAGGTGCATGGGTGCTAGGAACTGGTCTTGGGTCCTCTGCAAAATTAACTGCTGAGCCATTTCTCCAATCCCAACTTGCTAAGGAGTTTTTCTGAAAGCATCTTGGATGATTCTACTGTGCCAAACTCTCAGCAGCTCCCTCACTCTCATAGGAAGCCTGCCCCCCAGTGTGATGCAGAGGGCCTTCAAGGATGCAAGCAGCACTGCCCCTTCCACTGATTTCCCATGTCACCTCACCTCATCTCCCTGAGACCTAGCAACACTGACCTCAGAGACATCGCCTGCTCTCTTCTGTCATCTGCTCAGTTACTGCAACATCCCAGGCTTGGCTTCCCACCTGCCTGATCCCAGGTGTCCTGTGGCTGTTTCCACTGGATTGAAGCAGCCCCTTACAGACAGAAGGAAGCTTGGGAGCCGAGAGTCTTGGGGTCCTCTCCTTTGATTGGTGTTTGAACACTTGGTTTCCAGCTGGTGGCACTATTGTGGAATCATCAGGAGGAAGTGGGGTTTTGGGGTGGCTGGGGGTTTTCTGGCCTAGTTCCACTCTGTCTGCTACTTGCGTCCTGACTGAGGAAGCAGTACCTTGCCCTCCAGTGGCCATGCCTTCTACACCATGATGGAACATATCACTTCTTAAACTTCAAACTGAAATAGACCCTTTCTCCTTAAGTTTCCTGGAGTGCAGGAGGAAAGTAAGGAGTACAGAAATCCACAAGACTCACAATACCATGAGATTACATAAACCCTTGCTCAAGGAGAGGAGACTCTTGAGTGGAGCTTTGATGACACAGCTTTTCAGAGTGGTCACCTATGGGCTTTTGTGTAATGCAGCTGTGTGAGTCCCCCATGCTCGTACAAGCAACCAGTAAGTGACCACTAAGTAACCAGTAAGTTGATTGGTTCACCATGCTGGACTTGGATGGAATCGTCGATCTGCCATTGCCGAATGTGGGGCAAACCCCCAGAAAAAGCCCACATTGACTCTGATGTTTCCATTATAAACATTTTCTTTTAATTTAAGAATACTGATTAACACAGGAAACAGATTTAATTCATAAAATTGTGCACATGGTCACCAGTTACACCGTGACATGTTAGTTTCCTCATCACTTATTGGCACTGTTGACAATTACTGTAAACAAGATCACTTGGTCTTCGTGAGTCTGCGATACTCGCTAGCTGTGGTTTTCTACAGGGAGCTGATATATATATGCATATAGATAGATAGGTACAGATCTAGTAATTAGTACATTAATGTGCACAATTTTGCATGGTTACTGAGCATCATTAAAAATTATAAAAAGAATCACCCATTTATAATAAAAAGGGAAGATGTGCTAAGATTCACTAGTACTGGGCCTTGTTTTCTGCAAAATTGACACGACAGGCTAGAGACGTTTACTAAACTCTACTATACTAATGCATGATGGATGTACATCCAGACCTGCACAGAAGCGCCTCTTTGTGGGTTCTGCCTCAGGCAGAAGCCTGCCCACCAGGCTTCCTGGGTTTTCACTAACCTTTTCTAGTTTCTATCATCTTGAGTTTTGTGGAAAATACTTTTCCTTAGAATTCTTTCAGCTAATGTCCAAAGACAATGTCTCAGGTCAAAAACTTGGTAAATGGCTTAAATTTTGTTTGTTTAAAATGAGAAGAACCAACCCCAGGCGAGGGGTGAACAATACATCTGGAGATGACTTTCTAGAAACAGTTTCATTCTCAGTCAACAGCACCTCTTGTGGCAAGAAAATGAAATATCTGCCACTCCCTCCACTAAAGAGAGTGATTTCTACTTGTGTCCTAGCTTAAAACCCCTTTGGATGCTCGCTAAGGACCTGACCAGTGTCCGCATGTGCTGCCATGGTTCTCAGGAGGAAGCATGCTTAGATGAATTAGGGTTTGGCCTGCACTTTCCTTGTTTGTCAAATAAGACCTTGAACCTTGGGATATTTTGGGTGGGGTCTGGTTCCCTAGGGAAAGGGCTGAGGTTATGAACAAATGTGCCTCTGCACATGCCTTCCCCTTTCTTCACTCTTCCTTGCTTTGTTTGTGCTTGACTAACCTCCTCATTCTGGAGAATTCTGCTCAAACACTCCTTTCCCCTTGAAGGCTTCTTGGACTTACTAATATCCAGAAACCCTTGCTAGAGCACTTGCCACTCTGACTTCAACATTAGGTCTGTGGTCCCCAAGAGAGTGGGAGTCCCCTGGGAGCAGGGACTTTGTCTCATTTCATGTTTTCTTCCTGGTACTCAGCACAGGGCCTGGAAGAGCACAAATATTTCATGAAAGTTGGATTAGTGAATAAATTATTGATGCAGAAATAAACATACTGGTGACTGAAACCTTACAGGGAGGGAGGCAGACCCTGTCGCATATATAGTTGTGGGAATGATCTTAAACACGGCTATGAAAAGAGGTGTCGGAGTCTCAGATCGCAGGGTGAACATGGATCTGCTGTTTCCATTAAGCATGTCAGTGCTTTTCATTTTCAAGGTAAGGAAATTGATGGTCATGCCTAAGGAAGCATGGGAGTTAGGTCTTTGGATGATTCAAGAGCAAAGGGCTGAACTGGGAACCCTAGTGTACCCTTTTCCAGACAGTCAACCAGGGCATCAGCATGCAAAGCGGCTCTTGGAAGAAAACAAACTAGCCCCCTGCAGTCTCCTGTGAAACACTGCCTCTCTGAAGGATGAGGGGCCTCTCAGGTCAGGTCAGTTCTAAGATCATCATGCCTCTGGCTGAGATGCTGGAGCCTGCATAAACATTGACTGCCAGCTGAGGGTAAGCCGCACACTCAGGAAGGTCCAGGCTCTCGGGGTGGGGTGGGGGAGTGGGGAAATCCAAGAACACCATCATGACCCAGCAGCTGCTTTTCTTTTCTTATGCTATTATAATGAACACATTGCCTTTAACAAGAAGTCTAGCTGTGGTCCCTTGGGATGAACAGCCCTGCTCTGGAGAGGAGGGAAGGTGGATGAGTGGAAGCTGGACTATGAAGTTCCCAGGATGAGGGGTCACAGGTCAGAGGCCCTGGGATGAAATGAAGGGGCTCTGCTGCTCATGTTCCTCAGCTCACGCTCCAGAGGCAACTTCAGCTCCCATGTGTCCCCTGGATGCTCAGGATGTAGTTTCCTTCTCTTGGGTCAAGACTGACACAGGGTGGATGGAGAATGTTGCCTACTGATCCCACTCAGAGATCCTCTAGGAGCACAGGTCATTCAAGGACAGAAGTCACAGGCCAAGGATGGCACCAGAGGCACAGAGCTGAATGGATCTTGGTGTTGAGGATACCAGGAGTCCCTCCTCTCCTCTAGACACACTCCTCTCTCCCTACTTGTCATCTTTCTGAGAACCATCCAGACCCTTCCTAAGTCATGAGTGGGGCATGGAGCTAGGGATTTGGTGAGAAGCAAGGACAGTTTGTTCATGAAGGACAAGAGGACACCAGTATCTCTGATCCCAAGACAGGATACTTGAGATAGACTGAGACCCAAGGATCCTGCCCACCTGCCTCAGAGCAGGTGCAATGGCCTTGGGTGGCTTATAAGAAACTGGTTGGTCCAGGGTTGACAAAAATATGGCCTCATGGCCTTTCCTAAGACTGTCCAAGGCTTACACAGAACTTAAGGGCTTTAACCAATTGGCACCAGGAGTTCTGCAGGGAGGAAACTCAAACCCAGGTCCTCCCTACCTGCTCGCTCCTCCACAACCACTGAACAATGAGCCTGCCCCACAAATGACCCTTCAGTTTACGCATTCGCCTCTGATAAACTTTTAAGTGAAAATATGAATTAGGCAAACTAATCAAGTTGACACCATTGAGATCAGGCTTTCTCTGAATGTCACGGGGATGGCTTCTTTACTTGAAGTCTGCTAAGATGTCACTGAAAATATTGAGAAACAGGTGAGCGTGGTGATCCCTGAAGACCAGCGTGGGACGGAAACGGATGGATTTGTCACCACAGCCCCCCAATACCACACCTGGAAGAAGAACAGATTAGGTTAGGAGTAGGAGTTGCTAGGGCTACATTTGGGAGACTTGGAGGGCAAGTGGGTAATGTCACCGTCCTTGACTGTCCTGACCTTCACTATTCATCTCTCCCTTCTCCCTTCTCTCACCCACCCTCTTCTTTCTTTCCCTCCTAATCATAATTTGTGTGTGTGTGTGTGTGTGTGTGTGTGTGTGTGTGTGTGTTTAAGAGAAGGTCTCATCATGTAGCCCTGGCTGTCCTAGAACTTGCTAGGTAGTCCAGGCTGGCCTTGAATTCACAGAGATCTGCCTGCCTGGGGATAAAGGCATGTGCCACCAGGCCCAGCTCTCCTAACTTTGAATGTCAGCTCTCCTCCTCCTACTGGGTGGGATGGTAGAGAAATCTCAAGGTAAAAGTTCCTCCTTGCCAGAAACTCATGGTGCACTGCAGTAAGAAAATAGATAAATAAATACATTCCAAAAGCATATGCAGAAGGGGCTGAGCCATAATGCAGAAGGACGGGCACTGCTGGTTTTCAAGGGGTTTCATTGTGTGTCTGGGTAGACTTGCCTGGGTTGCTCATTATCTTTGCAATTATTTTTTCCCATTTTAAAAAGGAGGCTGAGCTAGGCATGATAGCACATGCCTGTGATTCCAGCACTTGAGACGTGGAAGCAGAAGGATTCCAAGTTCTAGGCCGAGGGTACACAACGATACCCTATCTTAAAATATAAATAAGTAAAAAGTTAAAAGCTAGGCTTAGTGGAGCATGCCTATAACCCGGCTACTCAGGAGGCTTGTGAAGGAGGACTGTAGGTCCAAAGTAAGTCTGAATTATATGGAGAATTCAAGGCTACTCTGGCCAAATTAGGGAGACTTTTGGCTCCAAATTAAAAGGTGGCAGGGGTGGAGGGGTGGGTAGGGATGAAGTGGTTCAACATATAAAGCACTTATCATGGAAGCCAATTGGCCTGAATTTAATCTTTGGAACCCACATAAAGGGAGAACTGACCCCATGAAGTTGTCTTCTGATCTCCATGTGTGCAGCATGATACTTGGACACACACACACACACACACACACACACACACACACACACACACACACACCCCACAGATGTAATAAGAATTTTTCTTAAAGGAAAAATAAAGGTGGTGGGCAGGCTGTAGTGGTAGCTAGCTGAGCGGCACAACACTTGTCTTATAGCATGTGTAAATCTGTAGCTTTGATTTCCAGAACTACAATAAATAAATAAACAAAAAACAACAACAACAAAAACCCAGCTAACGGTTCTGTCCTTTGGGGCTGCTGCAGGAACTCCAAAAGAAGGCACCAGAAAGGGTGGAGCTCAGTGGTAGGGCTTGGCCAGCCTGTCTGAGGCCCTGGGTTCGCTCCTCAGCACGGAATATAATAAGCATTTTAAGTCACCCTCAATCAGCTTCATAGCAAGTGTGAAGTGAGCCTGGGACACATGGCACTCTGCCCCAAAATACAGACGCTCAGGTGAGAGGAATAAATTCCACCAGTAAATTTTCTTTTGAGCAAAGCTTGGCATCCACACCTATAGCCTGATGAGATGGCTAAGTTCAGCCTCTTCTGCCCCCTTTACCTTTGTTTCTGGCGATCAGAATGAGTTTATTCCGTATGGATTCATCTGGGGTGTCAAAGGAGCAAAAGGTGCCTCGTCCTCTCACTCTGCTGATGACCTGGGGGTACCGGGCCTAGAAAAGGAAGACAAACTGAGATGAGAGCTTGTTACCTGGGTACCCACTGGTGCTGCCACGCCCACACAGCTTTTATGTGGATGCTGGGGAGCGGAGCCTCCTCTCTAGCCCTGTTTGTGAGAGAGGCTCAGTCTACAGCCTTTGCTGGCATAGAACTTTCGCTGTGGACCGGGATGCTCTCCCACTTCCCTTCTCTCTGTCTTTTCAGAACTGAGCTCATTGGCATTCGATTCAGGCTTCCCACATGCCTTATTTTCTATATTGATGATTTGTTGAAATATTAGTATTCTGGACATCAGATAGGTTAAGTAAAACATACTAAAAGTAATGTTACCTATTCCAATTTGCTTTTCATCTGGCTTCTATGATATTTAAAATTATGTCCGTGAGCCCGGCATCGTACCACACATCTGTAATCCCAGGATTTGGAGGTAGAGGAAGGAGGAAGGGGAATTCAAAGTCATCTTTGATACATATCACATTCAAGGCCAGCCTGGGCTACATGAAAATAATGTAATAAGTATAATAAAAATAAAGCAATTACATATGTGTCTTGCAACATGGGCAGTGCAGAGGGGGGAATTATGGCTACAGGAGCATTACAGGGAGAATCTTCTCAAACGAATGTTTGAATTTGGTGTAAGAGATAATGAGGGACCAGGGTTGGGGTTGAGATGGAAGAATGAGGCTACCTGTTTTTGCACATGCCAAGGCCTGGGAACCTGAAAGCATGGCTAGCTGAGAACTGGGGGCAGCAAGCAGTGCAGGGCTGAGACAGGTACCTGGAGATCCAGCAGCCCTGTGAGCAGGGTCTGCCCGGCATGGGTCACGTTGCTGAGCAGGTCCTCCCGCTTGATGATGTTGATGACCTCGGCCAGCAGCAGGTTCTTGGAGGGGTCTCCCAGCCAGGTATTGAAGATCCGGTAAGGCTAGAATGAGAGAGGAGGTCGATCAGAAGGGCTGTCACAACAGAACACCCCTAGGCACACCTTTCCCTGCCTCTCTTTTTCATTTCAGCCCTTTACTCTGCTTGTTCAGACATGACTGTGCAGGTCTCTACGTGAGTCTCTCATTGCCCAGGAGAGAAACTCAGTTACTTAACAACCCTTAGCTAGTGGTGACTATTTGCCATTTGAGGAATGAATGATTCTACTTGAAGTTTCTAACCCTCCCTTGCATTTCCTGCAAAAAATTGTATATGCCCCTACACATATGTGTACAAACATGCATGTGTGCTCATATGAACCCACATGTGCCTATACATACACATACACAGTATGAGGTGGCTCAAACCAGGTCAATTGTCATCCACCTGGGGTAAACCTAGCTGAGGAGCAAAGTTGTTCCTCAGGAGCTGTCCATCTTATTTTTAATATTGATTTATTTTTTGAGATAGGGTCTCCCCTAACGCTGTAGCCTACTGATTTGGAGGGCTGGCTAGCCAGCAAGTCCCAGGAAGCTTCCTGCCTCTGCTTCCTCAGCAGTGCTGGGATGACAAGCTTGTACCAGGTGTTGGGACTCAAACTCATGTCTCATGCTTGCATGGCAGGCAGTTCACTGCCTGAGCCATTTCTCCAGGACCTACACCTTTTCATCTCCCAAAGAGGAGAGAAACTGAACTGACAAACATCCCAAGGGCTGGGAGGGTAACATTGCTTAGCTCATCGAAGTTATCCAGTGACAACCGTACAGGCTGGCACTATCGAGAGAGATCTGGTTGTCACATACCCTGGGAAGTCTTTTCGGCCCAGAAAAATCAAGATGACTGTTCCTTAACTGCAGTGGTACATCACTCAATAAAGGCAATGATCTGAGAGACGCAATGTTAAGTGATTTCATTATTGTGCAAACATTCTTAGACAAACTAAAATGCCGTTATAGTGTCACAGACAATTCAGTCTCGGGGGATGCACTGTGGTATGTACACCCACTGTTGGCTGAAACCTTGTTATGTGGTGAACAGCTGCCCTACAGTCTTCATTTTATGTAGCAGGAAGCCTAGGTACAGAAAGGTTAGACGGCCCTAGTGATAGCAAATGTGTCTCATTGGTGGTGGTACTGGGATTGCATCATGGTCTGCTGACTCTTAAACATGATCTACTTTTCTCATCCATGAATCCTTACAGTGGCAATGTTGCCAACTAAAACACTTGCCAGCCTCTCTTACCATGTGGACTGGCCGCATGCCCAGGTTTAAGCTACATGTTAGGAATAAAAGACATAGGCCTAAGAGCTGGCTCAGCAGTTAAGAGCCTTCTTCTGGATTGGATCAGAGTTCCCTGCTTAGCACTCCCAGTGGGTGGCTGTCAAGCACCTGAAACTCCAGCTCCAGGGTTCTGAAGCTCTCTTCTGCCCTCTGCTGGCAGCAGCATGCACATACATAACAATTAAACTGTGTGTGGGGGCAGGCAGGCAGGAGGGGGGGCGTTCTGTGAAGGCTGTTAAAGATAAAAAGAGGCCTCTTTTTTCTTCTTTTCTTTTCCCTTAGCACAGATTAAAATTGAGATATGAAGCAGCCCTGAGGGTAAACTACCCATAGGAATGATGCAAGGATTTTAAGGATTTTGGACTCTTGAAAGCTGTGTGTGTGTGTGTGTGTGTGTGTGTGTGTGTGTGTGTTTATATGCACACATGAAAATTTGTAGTGTATATGTATGGCTAACAGGTGGGCTCTGTGAGATTCTTGACTGTCACTAATGGGCTCAGACCTTGGAGGGTGCTGTGTTTTAAATGTAAAAATGTCCCCATAAATTTTGTGGAACCTTTAAGGAGTGTGTCCTTGCTGGAGCAAGTGGGCATTGGATCCACCTTAAGGCTTTATTGTCCAGAGCCACTTACCCTGTCTCTGTTTCCTGACCATAAGTGCACTGTGACCCATCACCTCCTGCTCTTGTCACATGCCTCCAGTCATGATGTATTCCATCCCTCCAACTTGTAAGCCCAAACTCTTCCTTAAAATGTTTTTACTGGGTTCTGGACCATGGCAATGAGAAACCTCTGCCATAGTTACTTTTCTCATTTGCTTGCCTTCTATGCCTGGCCTGCCATCAGTAAAGCATTACAGAGATAATACGAGGCTCCTTGGTTAGATTGTTGTGTAAACTAAGGAACCACCAGAATGGGACAGGCACAAAGCATCCATTCTAGAGCAGCAGCTACTGACCTTATTACTGCACGTGACACTGAAGGAACCTCTGTGCCACCCAGGGCCCCTTGGTTCCTTAGGTATGTAAGAGAACAGCCATGGGATCTGAACAAGCAGAGAAAGCCAGGATACTCACAGCACTTGGCCGGAACTCCTCCTTGTGGAAGAAGCCCCCGGTCATCATCTTCTTGCTGAAGGACATTACATCGGCTGGGTCGTCCAAGCCCCAGTGCTCGTGGGCCCAGAACTTGCCTGTACAGCCTCCTCCAGTCTGAACTTCGTCTACCAGGAAGGCACAGCCATGCTGCTTCGAGAACAGGGTAAGGAGAAACAAACACAGGTTAGCCTCCAGGGACCCCCAGCCAAGCTGCAGCCCAGCTGTGTGCCCCACCCTTGTGCTAGAAACTGCAAAGCCAAGCCCCATTTCCCAGCTATGCAGACCAAAACAGAACAGTCTGGATCAGAGCTGCATCTGAACATACCCTAGAACTGCCCAGATACAACAAAACCAGAACATGGAAGACTCCCCACCCAGTCTCAGAGCTCTGCTGCATGTGGCTGCTGTGGCTCGTGGACTTGACTGATAGAAGGCAATATGTACAAGCTTGAAGCTGAGAAGCCACCTCCTTCACAGCAGCATTACCTAGATTCACCGATTCCCTATGTGTGTGAGCTGGCTCATGTCCCATGTGTCTTATCTATGAACTGACTGGTTTGACGTGTCCACTCTACATATACCTATTACCATGCGAACATGAACTTTCCCCTATAAGCTCCTATGGAGAGCATTTGGTCTCCTGCCAGGGTGCTACTAGGATGTTGTGGAAACTTTAGAAGTGGGGAGATGTAGCTGGAGGAAATAGGTCACTGGAAGGTGGGTCTTTGGAAGCACGGTTAGAGTATCTCTTGGTCACTTCCTGTCTCATTCTGTGTTTCCTCTCAGCTACGATGTGAATGTTGCTGTCGCATGTTTCGGCTGCCATGGTGATCTGCCAAGCATGTGGGGCCAGACAACTATGGAGCAAAGTCAGTCTTTCCTCTGGGGGGGGAGCTTATTCTGTTTAAATCAAGCAATTTGGTTACAGTGACAAAAAGCTAATGCATACAATTCCCAATCCATTAATTAAAGAGTTGATGTTGCCACTGCACCTTTTACATCTGCTGCCAACAGACCACAATGGACTGAAAGACAAGGCAAGTTCCAGAAAGAGAAAGCAGGAGGTTGTGGCCATCTTAGGGATCTCCTCACTGAAAAAGTCCCAGTGCATTGGATGGTCTTATGTCTACTTGACACATAAACTACAGTTATCTGAAAGGTGGGGACCTTAATTGAGGAAATGTCTCCATAAGAGCTGACTATAGAGCATTTTCTTAACTAGTGATTGATGGGGGGGCAGGGCCAGGCCCATTGTGGGTGGGACCAACCCTGGGCAGGTGGTTCTGAGTTCTATTAAGAAAGTAAGCTGAGCAAGCCAGTAAGCAGCACCCCTCTGCGGCCTCTGGCATCAGCTCCTGTCTCCAGGTTCCAGCCCTGTGTGAGTTCCTTCCTGACTTTCTTCAATGATGGACAGTGATGTGGAAGCTTAAGCCAAATAAACCCTTTCCTCCCCAACTTGCTTTTCAGTCATGGTGTTTTGTAGCAGCAATAGAAACCCTAACTAAGGCACCAGACTAAAACAGTAGTTTGGGGGATGGAGTGATAGCTCCATGGTTCCAGAGCACTGGTTGCTCTTCCCTAGGACCCTGGTTTGATTCCTAGCACCCACATGGCAGCTCACAACTGTCTGTAACTCCAGTTTCAGGGGATCTGATTAATTCTTCTGGTCCCTGTAGGCACTGCATGCATATGCTGCACAGACATACATGCAGGCAAAACACTATGCACATACAGTAAAATAAATTAATTAAAAGAAAAACAAAACACCTCAACCACAAACAAACAAAAACTCCCAGTACTTTGGAAGCTGGTTTTTGTTTTTGTTTTTTAATTTTTTTGTTAGGTTCTCACTCTGTAACCCAGTCTGATCTTAAACTTTCTATAACTCAGAATAGCCTTGAACCTGTGATAATCCTCCTTGCCACAGCCTGAGTGCTAGCATTGTAGGCTTGAGCCATCATGTCCCATAAAACTTGTTTTTCTTCAGTGCTGAGGACTGAACCCATACCTTCCTTGTGCATGCTACACAAGTGCTTTACCAATGGACTGCAATTCCAGCCCCAGAGGCTGATTCAGCAAACTTACTTTAAACAAGATTCACCCATGCTTCCCAGCTCAAGCTTGCCTCCACCTCAGATGGAACACGGGGCTCTGTGCAAGCTAGGTAAACCTGTCCCATGGAGCTTTACCCCAGTACCAAGCCCAACTTCTATGCCCTCAATAAGGCCAGTCCATTTCTGCACACATATAAGTTTTCATGGACTCCAAAGCAGAAGTGGAACCAACTTTTTGCTCTGGGAACTGAACTCAGAAATCCCTGTGATCTTGTCCAGCCTCGTTTCAGGCACTCTAACCTTCCGGGCGATGTCTCTCAGCTTCCGAAAGAAGTCATCTGATGCATGGTTGTCTCCGCCCTCGGACTGGATGGGCTCAACGATGATTCCAGCCACTGTTCTCTTCTTTTTCCGGTACTTCACAATCAGATCTTCTACCTAAATCCAGAAGGGGAGAAGGAGTTGCTCACAGATGGGCCGGAAGAGTAGATTCCATGGATGAGCACGGGGGGGGGGGGGCCTCTGGGAACCCCTTGAAATTACACTGAAGTGTGTCTGTGGCATTTCCCATGACAAGTGTGGGGCCTGTTAGGAGTCACACTCTGTACAGGCTGGCTTCAGATTTGTTATGTAGTACCTGGTGGTGCACACCTTTGATCCCAGCACTCAGGAGGCAGAGTTCAAGGACTGCCTGGTCTGCAGAGTGAGCTCTAGACTAGCCAGGGTAACAGAGAGAAAACTTGTCTTAAATTTTTATTTATTTTTGTTTTATGTGGCCAAGTGTGGACATGTATTTTATACTCTCCTACCTCTACCCCCAAATTCTAGAATTACAGGCATATGCCACCATGCCAGGCTCTGTAAGTGGGCATATTTGAGTAAGCTACTGAAAAGGTGGGTGTGGCCACTACTCTAAGCATGTCACTGTTGTTGTATCTGCTGTGCTGTTATTGCTCTTTCTGCTTGTGTGTGTGGCTCATGGGAAGACATTTGAGAAGCTGTTGCAAACTCATCTGTAGCAAAAGCTGACTGTAGCACTGTGGCTGGGTGTTGTGTGGGCAGAACACTTAGACTGACTGGAGAAGATGGCCCAGGGTGATAAGACATCCCTGGTTGGGACGAGAGTGTACTGAGTCATAAAATGGAGTGAATTAAATGCTGGAATGACTGAGCCGCATGATCTGTAACTCTCACACTGTTACAGCTGATGTAAAAACATAAACAAATGATGATACATAAGAAAGGTACCCAAGTGTCTCCTAGTAGGTCTATATTTGAACTCTTGTTCTGAAGCAGATATTATAGATAGTGAACAAACAACACTATCATCGTTTACTCTTTGTTTAATAAATATTAAAAACAAATAAAAATTAAAAACAAAATAAAGCCTATGACTTGAGGAGTTTTTATGCAGATCACACAGCGTTCCAGGGGATTAGTATGAAAAACAATTTTTCTGGGTGTTTGTGGCACACACCTTTAATCCCAGTACTTGGGAGACAGAAGCAGGTGGATCTCTGTGAGTTTGAGGCCAGTCTGGTCTACAGAGCAATTTCCAGGACAGGTTCCAAAGCTACAGAGAAACCCTGTCTCAAAAACAAAAATAAAAACAAAAACAAAACAAAATAAAACAAAACACCAAAACAAAACCCCCCAAAATAATGTAAAACAATTTCACCAATATTTTAAAATTATAATTAAATGTTGAGACCACATTTTGTACTAAACTCAATAAAATACTATGTCTCACTCCTGGAACCCCAGCACTGGTGAGGCTGAGGCAGCAGGATTTCTCTAAGTCTGAAGCCAGCCTGTGCTAAACAGTAAGTTCCAGGACAGCTTGATTAGAATCTGAGAGTATCTCAAGAAACAAATAAAAGATACTACTAAAATAAATTTTATTTACTTCTATTTATTTATGAAGACAGGGTCTCATATATTCTAGGATGGCCTTGAATTCACTGTGTAGCTGAGAATGGTCTTGAATTTCTGATCCTCCTGACCATCTCTTATGCTCTGGGATTGTAGACATGCATCTCCATGCCTGATTTTATGTGGTGCTCAGGACTGAGTGTCAGGAAAACTTTTTCCTAACCTTGCTCCATCCTCGGTCCTTCTCTTATTTTTAAAGCTCTGGTAACTAAGAAGTCTATAGTTATCTGTGCTATGAGCCTGGAATATGGTCTTGTCTCTTTCATTTACTGCTAAATACCTACCGCTCGGTACTCTGTTTAGCACCCGGTAGGTGTTCAGTAAATCTTGGCTGAAAGTGGTGACACGTTTAAGAGGAAAGCCATCAGAGTTATTACCAATCCAATACTAAGCCGATATAGAGGATACGGTCATTGTTTCTCCACCAGTACAACTTCCTATGCTGTTCCATTTCCTACATGGGGTAGATCAAAGGTGGCTGTTTCTGGGGAAACGTAGCTGTGGCAAGTCCTTCTCATTCCTTCCTAGTGTGACCTCCAACGAAACTTAAAGAATCCCTAGATCTCAGGGGAAGAATGCTAACCAGAGGACCAGACCCATGGAACCCCTTTCTCCACCAGACATCCGTATTACTAAAATAAAGCTATTCTCTTTCATTTTGAAGTCACTTAAATTTGTCCCCAAAGAAATGGTGGAGAAATTAATACTAAAAGTGGGGATAAATGCTAGGTAACAGAACAATGCCTATTGTCTCTTCCTTTAAGGAACACTTGAAGCATGAGGTCTCCATGTCCTTACTTCTCCCTGAGGAGCACAACCCATGTCCTACATTTGTCTTCTTCTGGGCTCAGAAGAGACAGCTGGAAAGAAGTTACCTCTTCTAGGCAGCGGGCCTCCTCTTGCTGGTTGTCCTTCACGAACTCCTCCAGGGGGTATTTCAGCCGTGGGAATGGTGCAATGGGCCAGTCAAAGGAGGGGATGTCAATCTTGTGAATTGCTTTGGAGTGTGTGGTTGCTAAGCATCCTGAGCCCAGCAAAACAGAAGAACAGATAGTTGGCTTGGGCAGTAGCATAGAGTGACTTTGAAGAGGGCAGTAATGAACTCTTTAGCCCCATGCACGTGTGTGTGTGTGTGTGTGTGTGTGTGTGTGTGTGTGTGTGTGTGTGCATTTGCTTTATGATTTGTTGCAGATTAAACCTAGTTGCTGAAGAGGAGAAGAGTTCAAAATCCTTGCTTGGTGATTAAATGGCCTTGGAAAATTCCTCCCTTTGCTGGCCCATAATCCATATTTACAAACAGTCACAATCTGCATGGAACTGAAATGGAATTGATGGGTTACAGGAGGGATGGATGGGGCATTTTTATACTCTATGTTATTGTTGTTATTTTCTTAATGTGGATGTATAAATTATGTCATGTGAGAGTAATGCCTGAGGAGGCCAGTAAGGGCATGATATGCCCTAGAGATGGACTTATATATGTCTGAGAGCCACCTGACATGGGTGCTGGGAATCAAAACTTAGTCCTCTGAAGAGTATCACGCACTTACAATCACAGAGCCATCTTTCTAGCCCTTTATATTCTGTATTAGAAGATTATATTTGCCTTTCATGTTGGAGAAAGAAAGCTACAGTTACACAGTGTTTTTTCACAACTATTTTAAAACATTTTATTTTTCATGTATAAGTGTTTTGCATACATACATGCATAAGTGTTTCATGTATAAGTGTGTATGTGGACTGTGGGCTAGAGGAGGTCATCAGACCCTGGACCTGGAGTCACAGATGGTTATAAGCTGCCATGTGGTGGCTAGGAACTGAACCAGGTCCTTTCCAAGAGCAGCAAGTGCTCTTAACCACTGAGCCATCTTTTTAGCCCCCTCCTTATTCAAAATAAAAAAAAATCACGTTTATTTATTTATTGGGGTGGGTGAGTGTGTCAGTATGTGCACGGGAGAGTAGCATGACAAATGATGGGAGACTCATCTACCATATAGGTTCAGGGGATCACATTCATGCCAGCAAGTTTTGTACCTTTACCCACTGAGCCGTTTCAGCTGCCCTACATGTTCACATTGCTAATTGTTCCTTTGTTCTGAGTTAACCTTTGGCCTAGGTGGTGCTTAGGAAGGCTTGTGAGGCTCCCAGGCTTGAGAAATGTGAACACTGCTACACAGGGAGAGATAATAATGAGGAAAAAGTTCAGGAGGTGATATGGAGAGATACACAAACACCAGAATCTCGGAGAGGAGGCTGACCCCTGACCGGAGGACAATATGCCTTTGTTCTTACTCCCTGCAAAACCTACTGGCTAAAGATAGGAGGGGGAAGGCAGTACACACACTCTCCCTCTCTCTCTCTTAACCCCCTGTTTTCTCTTTAGCATCTGTGGTGACAGGTAGCATGAAGTCTCTGACACTACTGGTTCCTCCTTACCCATAGTCCTCCCGTGGAAAGCGCCCATGAAGGAGAGGATGCTGTAGTCGGGGCATCCAGGACTCTAGAATGAAAAAAATAATGCAGGCACCGGTCATTTACCGTGAGCACTAGGGACTGTGTGCTACTCAGCAGACCCAGATGAAGTCCATCAGAACTATGGTCCTTTCTGGTGTGTGTGTGTGGGGGGGCTGTGAACTAGATGTTAGCAGTTGTACCCAGCCTGCAGGCTTTCTGTTTTGTTTTGCATCCTTGTTCAGTCAACTTAAAAGTTACAGATTTAAAACAAAGAAGCTCCACATCACTGTCTGGGCTTCTGGCTTTCCACAAGGTCTGCCCCAGGTGACATTTTCCTATTTGGTGGCAGCCAGTGGCTGAGTGCACCACCAGTCCCTCTGCCTATTGGGTGCTGCAAACTGAGGGACTGGTTCTACAATTTCTCTGCTCCTCCAGCCTTCTCATGCTCCAGGCTGCCCTGGCTTCCACAGCCTAGTGCTGTGACACTGGCCTGAGACAGGAACTGAGCTGTGGCTCTCACTGAAAATGCACAATCACCAGGAATGACCAAGGTGTCTGAAGAGACTGGACAGGAAAAACAGTGGGAGGACGGACCCCACCTTCTCTCTCCTGATGTCAGGCAGCTGCTCACTTGGCTTCCAGAGGCTCAAGAATCTGGTGCACAGGTTCTAGCCCCTTCCCAGCTCCAAGCAGATGAGGTGGTCCCTATTTACTTCCTTTACAAAGTATTTATTTAATGTGCATGGGTATTTTGTCTGTGTGTCTGTGTACCACATGAATGCTTGGTGTCAAGGTGGTCAGAAGAAGGCATTGATCCCCTGGGTCTGTAGTCACAGATGGTGGTGAGCTGCCATGTAGGTGCTGAGACTCGAACCCGGGTTCCATGTGAGCGCTCTTAATTGCTGAGCTATCGCTCCAACCCCAGAGTTTTCATTCTTTACTCTCTATCCAGCGAGAGACTCCTAACAGGCTTCTGGCTCCCTTGTGGAGAACTGCTGCTGCCACCTCAGATGCCTTAGCCCTGGGCTCTGGGAGGTTGGAGGTCCCTGCAGCATTTTCCCAGAGAAAAGCTCCACAGTCTCCTCTCACACATCCCAGAATACTTTTTGCCACTATTTCCTTTATATATCCTGATTGTATATCTGTATATCTCCTGTATGGCCAAGCTAGGTTGGCAGCACAGGGTTGTAATCCCACAATACTCAGAAAGCAGATATATAGTGGGATCTCTGCACGATCGAGGCCTACAAGCTTCAGGTCAGCCTGGGCTTCATGGGAGCTGTGCTACAAAACACAACACAGCAAGAGAGCAACAGACACACATGATCAGGTACTAACAGTGAGGAATAAGGTCTAAAAATGTTGGTAGACCAAGCTGTTCTTGGACATTAAGTGAGGGTGAACCCCATCTGTGAATCCTTTCTGAATTTGGAAGCCCAACATTTAACTGTTTCTTTTTTTTTTTTTTTTTTTTTCATGCTTGGACAAAATAGGTGATATCCATCCTTTTCTGGTTATAATTCTATAAACACCAGTGGAAAACTCTAGTGCAGACATTTGTGCTGATGGTTTGGATTGTTCTACTTTGAGCAGACATTCATGGTTTCTGTAGACTGTCAAATTCAGGAAGTCACTCTGGGAAACTAATGGGCAATTAGGAAGAGTGCCGCTCAGCCTTGTACTAGCAAATAAACTCTGGGTGGCAAAGCACAGGGACTCCTAATTCAGAAGGCCATTCAACTAATGGCCAGGGCAGGTCCTGAAATAGGTGAGGGAATAGCCCCAGCTACACCTGCAAGATAATTACACGAGTGAGTGAGTGAGTGAGCGTGCGTGCGTGCGTGCGTGCGTGCGTGTGTGTGTGTGTGTGTGTGTGTGTGTGTGTGTTGGGGTTCCATGCCTGCCTGTGTGTGTGTTTGGTGAGTGGTGGGGTTTCAGGATCGAACTCAGGTTGTCAGGCTTGAAACTAAGTCTGTTTACTGAGCCACCTCCGAAACTCTGCACCTACCTGGTTGACCATGCAGGTCTCCAGCTCTTCTTTTGAAAAACCTCTCTGCCCTCGTTCTTTACTCTTCCAAAAGAGAACAGAGTAGAATTAGAGACATGCTGGGGTAAAAGGGGTCCCCTTCCTCCCACAGAGACACTTAATTCAGGCAGCCAGAGTATGTTCACAAAGGTTGATTTAATGTTCTATCATGACATGTCTAGATAGACACATGATACTAATTGAACTTGCGACAAAATAAATGCAAGCATTGCTACATGATCTATTAATATTTTATCAGCAGCAACCAGGGTTTGTTGAGATGGGACAGTTTATAACAGGAAAAATAAATAGTGACTATAACCCTCCTGGCAGGAAGGAAGATATTTGGCTGTTAGGCTATTGAAGCAATGGACCCCCACAAATTTGAAATCCCCCTGGGTTCTTATGTTATGAGAAAAAAAAAAAAAAAAGAGCTAAAGCCCAAGGGGTAAATTAGAGGAGGAAACCTGGCTCCTTAAGAAAGATTTACAAATTGTCAGAATCTTACAGGGTAGATTGGAGCTGAGACAATGGTGGGTGGGATCACATCCACAACTGTCCAGACTGCTTAGTTAAATAGATGTCTTCTACTTAAACCTAAGTCTCCTGTCCAAACCTGGAAGACAGACTTGATGTATGACCAGACCTCTTGTATTTGTTCTCTTCCTGATGTGGCCACATTGAATAAATCTCCACTTTTTGATTTTAACTATTAATTTGCCTCTTTAATTGATTTCTTGAGAACAGGTGGTTAAGCCTGCCCTGTGAGGCCCCACCCTAATAAATCCAGTAACATAACTACATTGACAGCAGGACCCAAGCCCTCTGTGCCACGTCAACCCGAGATGCTGGAAAGCTCCAACCAAGCTCTCTAGACCAGCACTTCTCACCCTGTGGATGAAGAGATCCTCACGGGGTCATCTAAAACCATCAGAAACATAGATAGGTGCATTATGATTCATAACAGCAGCACAATGATAGTTGTGAAGTAGAATGAAATAATTGTATGGTTGGGCATTCATAACATGAGGAACTGTATTAAAAGGTGTGCAGCATCAGGAAGGTTGAGAAGCACTGCTCTAGATTATATCCAAGTTGAACACTGGGGTATGAGGGATCAGAGTGGGGTGGGGTCAGTGTGGGTGCTCTTGCCCCAAAGCTTACCCGGTACCACATGAAGATGGTCTTGAATGCATTCTCATTGGAGCAGGAGCCACAGGCCATGGTGATGAGCTGGGACATGCCCTTGGGTGCCACCTGCAGAGGGAGCCCACTATGAGTAATTTGAACTCTTATTTCTATCCCTGGAGCTGAATCTCCCAGCACTGGTAGGAGGGTGAGAGAGGCAGTGAGGGAACCAGAGGTGCACCAGAAACAGCAGGTTGGAGGGGTGGGTTCAGTCTTTTCCAGGGTGGAGAAGCAGCCCAGGGAGATCTCTGAGGTTAGCAGAGAGGAAAGAAAGCAAGAGGAACTCCAGTGGAGCCTGGCCCAGTGTGCTCGTGTACACTCATCCATCTCAGCACCGGCTGGAAATACAAGTGACACTCTGTTGCAAGTTTTAAAAATATTTTTCTTGAGGGCTGGAGATGTGCTCAGTTGGTAGAGCACTATCTCAGCATGCACAAAGACCTGGGTTCAGAGTGTTGGCACACTACTGTAATAAGTAGATCCAGGAGGATCAAAAGTTCAACGCTATCCCGATAGCGAGTTTGAGGCTTGCCTGGGCTATTTAGATCATACATTTGAGGCCATTCTGGGCTATATGAGACCTGTTTATATACCCACACACAAAATTATTTATGAGAGAATCAGCTAAAAAAGCTGTCTTTTAGTCTTTTACCTCCTCCTTTTAGTGCTTGTTCCCTCTCTCCCTCCCTTCCTCTTTCCCTCCCCTCCCTCCCTCCCTGATTTTCTTCCTTTTGAGCCAGGTCTTATGTAGCCAGGCAGCTACTGCAGCAGCAGCCATCTGCCCACCCATCCTTCCTGGCTATGCATCTCATCCTTCCCTGACCTTGCCATGGGCATCTCTGAGGACAGACAGGCAGGCTGGAAGGTGGATTACAAACATGGGTGGGGTTATCCCCCAAACTCACCGACATCAAGGACTCTCGGAGTTTGTCTACAAAGTTATCTGGAGGCAGGATGCCCAAGGCAGGTCTGTTGATGAAAGTACTCTGTAAAAGAACAGCAGCAAATGCATCAGTTCTTGGGGTCCAACCCAGGCCCTCTTCCACATTATATAGTTGAGGGGGTCAAAAAGGCTATCTCTGGCACTGTAGGCTCATCGGTGTTATTTTAGTGTTTTGGTTTTTTATTTTATTTTTTGGGAGACCATGGCTCATATAGCACAGGCTGGCCTGGAATTCAACATTGTACCTTAATTTTAAAAGGTGGGGAGGGGCACCATAAATCCACAGCAGGGGCTGGAGAGCTGGATTCGTGGGTAAAGCACCATATAAAGGTGAGAACCTGAGTTCACATTCCCAGAACTCATTGAAAGTTGGATGTGCTAGTGAGCATCTGTTATCCCAGGGTCTCTATGTCAAGATGGGAAGCAGAGATGACAGAATCCTTAGATGCTCAGGCCAGTGGCCTGGAATGCACAACGGGGAACAAGATGGAAGATGGGAACTAATACCTGAGATTGCCCCCTCTGACCTCCACAAACGTGCTGTGGTGCACCCACCCTTGTAACACTCATAAGCATGCAGCTCTCTCTCTCTCTCTCTCTCTCTCTCTCTCTCTCTCTCTCTCTCTCATACACACACACACACACACACACACAACAGAGAGAGACTATGGTTGTGAGACTTCTAAATAAAATGGAGGTATGTTGGTGGAGCTGGCTAAATAATAGAGAAAAAAGCCAGACCATCATAAGTATCTTTACATCAATCATCCCGTCTCCCCTATGTTGATAGAGGTAGGTCCAGAGCATTAACTCCCTCTGCAAGGAAATCAACAGCATGAATGAATGCTGAACTGATGTTTGCTACTCACACCTGTTTGTCCAAAGGTGAGTCTGCCCTGCCCTGTGGCTGTTGGGAGGTCTGTAGGCCCAGGAAGACAGCATGAACATATTTCCAAAGAAAAGGGAAATGGGCATTGACTTTCGAATTCTGATAAAAATTTGTCTTCAAATGGTCTCTGGTTGAGGGATAGTATTGCAAGCCCCTAAGTGAGACAGGTGCCTTTAGGAGTAAAATCCCATATTAATACACCTTCAGGGGCTGGAGCCAAAAATCAGGGGGTAGAGAGCTTGCCTAGTAGGTAGAAAGTTCTGGGTTCCACTCAGCACCCCATACGTCATGAATGCTGGCATCCCTCTGTAACCCCAGAACTGGGGAGGTGGAGGCAGGAGGATAAAAAGTTCAAGGTCCCCCTCACAAAATGAATTTGAAGCCTGGCTACATGAGACCCTGTCTCAAAAATCCCCAAACAAAACAAAGTTAAAGTTATTAATGGTAAGTCACTTAAAACGAAGCCTCTGCGACTTTAGAACAGAAAGAGCACTCTGTGCCCATCTTTGCTTATGAGGGTTCAGGAGCACTCCAGGAGTGGTGACTTCCTACCTGTGGCCTTCCTCCTTGCCCCACTCTACCAGGAGGAAGTGATCCCAAAGAGCATGCAACAGTGAGACCAGGGAGGAAGCACGGTCCATTTGGTCACCTATGCCCTGGCAGTCACTGGACAGGGCCTTTCTGCATCCTTAAGATAACTTAAGATAACTGGTCAGATAAGCAGAGGTGTCATACTTTACAAAACCAGGGAGCTCGGGATAGTTCAGGATTTCAAGAGTAAAGATAGGGAAGCCAAGGACATAGTTGGAGGCTGACCAGGAGTCAAAGTTCTTTCCTTGTCTGGGTGCTGGATCTGGCCATCAAGCTAATGACCAAACATACCTGAGGTGGACTAAGGGGATTGCAATTCAGAGGACTCACCCTCAACACATACCACCAGGGCTGGTAACAACAGAGAGACGCTGCTCAAGGGACAAAAAGTGAGGTCACACGGAAGTGGGCCTGGATTATAAGAGGGATCATACTAAATACAACTTGGCATCTTGGCTTGGATTCTAGGGCACATCACAAAAGAAAAATACTGTGTAGACTGGGGAGTTCCAAGGGAAGTCTGTGGCTTGGCCCTGAGTAGCATTAACTTGTGTGTTATCATTTGGTAAGTGGCCTTAACTACAGGGGCAGCTGGAGAAAGGAGATTTACAGTTTGTTTGTAAATCAAAAAGTAGTTTCTTGCTATGGTTAAGAACATTTATTATAGCTGGGAAGTAATAGCTCATGCCTTTAATCCCAGCATTTGGAGGCAGAGGCAGAGGGATCCCTGAGTTTGAGGCCAGCCTGGTCTACAGGATAGCTAGGGCTGTTACACAGAGAAACCTTGTCTCGAAAAACAAACAAACAAACAAACAAAGAACATTTACTATAAGCTATGTGTTGGTGGTAAATGCATTTAATCCTAGCACTTGGGAGTCAGAGGCAGGTGAGTCTCTGAGTTTGAGGCCAGCCCGGTCTACAGAGTACGTTCCAAGACAGACAGGGCTACACAGAGAAACCATGTCTCAATAAAACCAAAAGGAAAAAAGAACACTTATTATAAAAAGTAGGTGTTGGGAAGGTTGTAGTGTAGATTCTTATCAAGCTTGGGCCAGCCTGGTACACACAGAGTGGTTGAGGCTAAGGATATTGCTCTGTTGGTAGGGTGCTCACCTACCATGCACAAAGCGCTGGGTTCCATGCCCAGCACTGCAGAAATCTAGCATGGTGGCTCATGCCAGCAATTGCAAGCATTGGGGAAGTAGAGGCAGGAAGCTCAGAATTTCAAGGCTGCCCTTAGCTACATAGGCAGGTTGAGGCCAGTCTAGATTCCAGGAGACCCTATGTCAGAAACACAAACAAACCAGAACAGACAAACGGAGGCTGTACTTGGATATAGAGACTTCTCAGACACTTGCCTCTCTTGGTCGTGATCAGATAATAAGTTCAATGCAAATCTAAATGCACTGGGGGAGACTCAGGACAGGGAGGCCCAGCAGTCATTCTCCTGGTGGCTTCAGGATATGGCTTGGGCCAGTAGAAAGTGGGGCAGATCCATACTTTTGTTGCTTTTCCTGCTTTATGACCCTTCCTTGGGGGACTAGGAGATGCAAAGGGGGCAGGAAGGATGAGAAGTATCACTGCCGAGGACCACAGAGGTCAGGCAATTTGTTCCAAGACACACAGGCAGGACTCCAGGGAGGGCTTGCTGGCTTCTGATGACATTCTGGGCCAGGCACTCCAGGCACCTCTGCTCAGAAATGCTAACGCTGGGCACACATTTGTTTGACACAACTGAAGACCTTGGTCTGTTGGCAGGGACCTTAAGAAGCATTTTTTTTTTTTTTTCTGGCTCTGACCTGCTCATGGGGCCTGTGAGAAATCAGGGACATGATGAGACCAGGGTGGAAGCAGAGGCTGCCATGGGCTGCGGGGAAGAGGCTCCTGGAGAGAGACAGGCTGGCTGGCAGCTTGATTGCCTATCTGGGCCCAGAAAGGATGTGGGGGCGGTGTTCTTGTTCGACAAAGCGTGGCATTAAGAGCAGAAGATATCTGGGACGTGGTGGCTGCAGAATCAAATGAGGACAGATTTCCAGAAGGCTTGCCACCAGCTTAGCTGTCTTTAAGTGCAGCAAGGGGAGAACTGGTGTGGCCTTGGGTAAGTCACCTAACATCTCTGAACTTCAGGGTTTTCATCTGTCAACGTAGGCACCTCTTGCCAGGTATTGGTAGAGAACCTTGAGGAGAGAAGGCACAGAGAGAGCACAGAAGAATGGTAGATCGGCCTGAATGTCACAGACTGCAAGTGTCTTACTTGGCCCTCCCTTTGCATCCATCCAAAGTGCAGGGAAGCCCATCTGCAGCTGTCGCTCATGGCCGTGTGATTATGCACAGGCTAGTCCAATACAGGGAAATGTATTGAGATGGCCCTAAAGACATTAGAACTGGAACCCAGATAGATGCAGGGGACAGTATGCATTTCTGCAGTGACATGAAATCACCGGTTTCACAGAGGTGCTATTGTGGCCCAAGTGGGTTAATAGGAAGCCAGGTATGATGTGAGACGATGAATCAGTGGGTAAAAATCTTGTTAGGCAAGCATGAGTACCAGAACCCAAGTACATGCTCGGTGGGCTTGGCAGTCCACCTGTCATTTAAGCCTTGAATGGTTTAGATGGGGGGGGGTGTCCCATAAAGCTGGGGAGGTGAAGGTGAGGACCAGCCCTTGCCTGGGTAACATGTGACAGGTATGTGGGGTAGGCAGGGAAGGTTCCTAAAGAACAGTTCATGTGGTTGCAAAAATCAGAATCCTTGGGCCTTGATGTCATGTGCTGTTGGGAAGACTGCCTCCGCAGGCAGCTGACACTGCAAATGTGTGTGACATGTTTGTTGACACATTCTCTCAGCACCAGCTGCCAAGGCATCTGGGATATGCATAAGTTTTAAAACAAAGCAGCTTTGATCGTAAACACATCCTCTGAGCCTTTTGGCTTCATTGGCCACCTTCTCAGGATTCCCCTCGTACCTGCTCAATTAACTGGAGGCAAGACTGTCCTCTAGTCCCTTCCAGGCAGGCCATGCCAACTGATCAAGGCTCTCTCAGCAGATCTTCAGTTCTGGGGATTAAAGGACTTTTTGGAACTGAGTCTTTTGTAGCCCAGGATAGCCTTGAATTTGTTATATAGCCAAGGGTGACATGGAACTTCTGATATTACTGCATCTACCTCCTGAGGGCTAGAAGTACAGTCATGCACCACACCCAGTTTGTACAGTGCCTGGGATCAAACTCAGGGCTTTGTGCAGGTTAGGCAAGCACTCTACCAATAGCTACATCCACAGCACAGTTAAGAGTGGAGTTCACTTCTTGATTAGGACTTGGCTTTTACTGTCCTTGCTTTCCTTTAGGGATTAAGTTTCCTGGCATGAGTAGGCAAGGATGTCCACCTCTGAGTCACACAGGAACTATGAAGTGATTGAGACCTCCATCCCACCTCAATGCTGGTGGGAAGGGAAATCAGGCCAGTAAGTTTGCAAACTGGCAAGATCTGCAGAAACAGAACATGAACATTCACCATGGCCACAATTCTGCTGCTAGCTCTGCTATAAAGATAACTCCTACAGCAGTTATCTTCTGGAGAGTCCCAACGTGGAACTATCTTCAGGAAGGTAGATAAACTGGTTGCTGTATATTCACACAGTCAATGCCATGAAACCATTGAAAGGACAGTTTCCTGCCCACAAGAGGTGGAGGATGAATGTCCACATGATTTTTTTGAGAAAAATAATCAGACATGATAAAGAGTATATGAGGAATAATCTCACTCAGGGGCAGAGGAGAGGAGAGACACAGCTGTCTTTTAGGAGAGAGGGGTGGGGTCTATCCAATTTGGATGGCGGAAGTCACAGCCAGGTGACCTGTTTTGATCCCTGTTACTATTTATAATTCTCAGTAGGAGGCGAGGCATGTTATATCCTGTTATACAGCACAGACTCATTGTGGTACATCAGTGCATTGTTTGGCATTGTAGACACAACCACAGGATGCTAACTCTGCAGATCCTTCTAACTCCAGGGACCATGCCCACATCATTAGGAAGTCGTCATGAAGGCTCAGCTAGGGAGATAGCTCTCTATTTCCCTTTGGGCCCAATGTGACTACATGAGCAGAAGTAGAATAGGATACAACTCTATTGCAAGTGGTGACAGTAGACGTCAAGAAGACCAGGAAGAAAGGAATAGGGTGAATGAGTCTTGGCACATACTCTAGCCTTCAGCAGGGAAGTTCACCCCTGGGAGCAGAGTCCACAGCCATCTCAACAGACCCTGGCCCGAAGCAGAGGCCATATGCAGGTATTGCTCTGAGTTTATTGTCATTTTGAGACATGTGGCCCAGGCTGGCTTCAAACTTGCTATGAGAATGAGGATGAACCTGAACTCCTGATTCCCTCCTGCCTCAGAGTGCTTGGGTTATAGGCATGGGCCACTATGCATAGCTCTCAGGTATTATTTTAAATTAGAATTGCAGCCATCTGTTAATATAGTAATTGAAAATGAATATATAACAGTTTCAAAATTGCATGGTAGTAGAACAAATAGGAAAGTAAAATCTCTGTTATTAATTTTTTAGACAGGATCTCACACAACCTTTCTGGTCTCAAATTCGTATTATCTGAGGGTCCCCCCTGCCTCTACTTCTCCACTGTGGAAATTATTAGTATTAATTTTGTTTTGTTTTGTTTTTCCAGACAAGGATTCTCTGTGTAGCTTTGGAGCCTGTCCTGGTACTTACTCTGTAGAAGAGGCTGGTCTGCCTGCCTCTGCCTCCTAAGTTCTGAGGTTAAAAGTGTGTGCCACTACCCCACAGCCAGTGTGGAAATTATTGATATTCACCACCATCCCTGGTTTCATTGAGTGATGAGGATAGAACTCAGGGCTTCCTGCATACTGGGCACTTTGACAACCGAGTGACATCTCTCACCCCACGAAAGTGCCATCTAAACTGGGCTTCTCAGCCAAGGTTACTGTACCTAGAGGTGGACAGAGGAAACAGCTGTTTCTAAGACTCCTTTTGTGTGTGTCGATGACAAGAGGCCCCCGTAACATGGAATGGCCTGGATCTGAACGCCACCAGTGCCAAGCTGAGAAAATCTATTGAAGGTTGATTGTTTTCTTGTTGTTGCTGATGATGTTGTTATCTAGACACAAACCTATATTTATCTGGGAAGAGGGACTCTCAGTTGAGGCTTTGCCTGTGAGCTTGTCCGTGGGACATTTTCTTGATTAATGATTGATGTGAGACGGGTGGTGCCATCCCTGGACTGGTGGTCCTGGGCCATGAACAGAAAACAGGTTGGGCAGCCCATGGGGAGCCGCACCCCATCAGAGCTCCTATCACCAGGTTCCTGCCCTGACTCCTGTTAGCCATGGACTGGGACTTTAATCCAAATAAATCCTCCCCCAAGTTGTTCTGGTTAGTGTTTTCTACAGCAACAGAAATCAAACTAGGACAAAGGTGGTGTAAACTCCATTGCTACTCTGGTCCTACCTGAATCCTGCCTGCTGCTATCTCTGCTCTTTTCTTCCCCAAGCATGCCTCACCATCACCGGCATGCCACCTCCTAGCCTCTCCTCCTACAGATCTCTGTCTAAAGTTACTTCCCTGGGAAATCTTTCCTGCTCCATCACAGATGAACTCAGTCCTCTGGATTTATTTCCAGCATCTCCACTGGCCCATGTGGCCTTGGGCAGTGTGATGATTAATACTGATCGTCAACTTGACAGGCTCTAGAATCACCTCTGAGAACGTCTGTGAGGGACTCTCTATTGCTTTGTGGTGGGGGGCTCCATAACTGTTTGTGGCACCACCACATAGCTGGAGTACTGAACTAAACAAAGTGAGCTAAGAACCAGCATGCATCTCTCCAGGCTTCCTGACTGCAGTTGCCTCTTGTTCTTGCCACCATGCTGTCCCTGCCATGATGGTGTACCTTCAAATTATGAGCCAAAATAACATTTGCTTAAGTCATAGCAAATGAGAAAGCTAATACAGATATATAATTTTTCTGCTCTTCTGTTTCTTCATCTATTAAACATTCCCCAAACACAGAATAGTACTGTCATAAAGCATAGAACATATAGGTGGTTATGGGAGGGTGGTATGTGCAATACACAAGATATACATGCATCCAAGTTTGGTAGAAGTACATTTAAGAGGTGGGTGTGGTGGTGCACACCTTTAATCCCAGCACTCTGCTGGCAGAGGCAGGCAGATCTGTGAGTTTGAAGCCAGCCTGGTCTACAAATTGAGTTCCAGGACAGCTAGAGCTGCTACACAGAGAATCCCTGTTTCCAAAAACCCCAAACCCCAAACCAAACCAAAAGAAAAGAAAAGAAGTACAATTAAAAAGAGGAGCTGGAAAAAAAAAAAAAAAAAAAGAGGAGCTGGAGAGATGGCTCGGGGGTAAGAGCTTGCTGCTCTTGCAGAAGACCTGGGTTTGGTTCCCAGCACCCACATCAGGCTTCCAGCTGCAGCCTATGACTCTTGTTCCTGGGGATCCAAGGCCCTCCTTTGGCTTCTGAGAGTACTGTATACACACAATGCCTGTTCATACATATGCATTCATGTATGTTAAGTATTATCATTGTCTTGTGCCTATTTAGTACCATGTCCTTTACTCTGTAGTAAATGTGGTTACAATTCTCACTGATGTATGGGGTTAGGTAACTGTCTCCATAGGAGTGAGGATGCTAAGTTTTCCTTGCTGTCCTAGTTACATTCTGTCACTGTGATTAGTACCATGACTAAAACAGCTTTTGGTAGGGGGCTTCTCTCTCTCTCTCTCTCTCTCTCTCTCTTTGATTTTTTTTTTTTTTTTTGAGACAGGGTTTCTCTGTGAAACAGTCCTGGCTGTCTTGGAACTATCTCTGTAGACCAGGCTGGTCTGGAACTCACAGAGATCTGCCTGCCTCTGCCTCCCAAGTGCTGAGATTAAAGACGCGTGCCCAGCTGGCTTATTTGTTTTACAGGTTACAATCCCTCACCAAGGGAAGCCAGGGCAGGGGTTCAGGCAGGAACCTGTGTGACGAACTGAAGCAGAGTCCACAGAGGAGCTGCTGCTCACAGGCAGGTCACCTACCACTTGCTCAGCTTTTTTTTTTTAAATAAAATTTATTTTATGTGTGTCCTTGAGTGCATGGATGTGCATCACGTGCACACAGGAACCTGTGGAGGTCAGAAGAGGTATTGATCCCCTGGAAGTGGAGTTACAGACAGTGGTGAACTGACATGTGGGTGCTGGGAACCCAACCCAGGTCCTTTGCAAGAGCAACAAGTGCTCTTAACTATTAAGCAATCTCTCTAGTCCCTCAGCTTGCTTCCTTATACAACCCAGGAATACTGCCCAGGGGTGGCACTGCCCACCGTGAGCTGGACCCTCCCACACCTATCATCACTAATTAAGAAGATGCCCAGCAGATATGCCCACAGAACAATGGGATGGAGGCATTTCCTCTATTCTGAGCTTCCCTTCTTCTCAGGTGACTCTAGTATCTGAGTGCCTGGCACAGGGTACAGGCTCAGCAAACATCTCCAGTGCTGTAAATTAATCTCATGTAAAGATGCCTGTGGGTCTGGTCATGAGCTGTCTGTCCTTAGTGTGCACATCAGGGACACATACCACATTTTGAGGCTGTTGGATGAGTTTCGCCAGAGCTGGATGGTTATAACCTGGGGAGAAGAGGGTACAGTAAGGTTAAAGAATGCCACCACATCTGAGGTTCCCCCTCCCCTTGCTTTCGTCTCCAAAACACTGTGTCAAAGACTCTGACCCATGACTAGAAATCTCTCTCAGTGCAGCCTGGAGAGCTCCAAGTTTCCTGAGGACGCTGGGCTGTTTGTTCATGTTTGAGACCTGCTGGACCAGTGAAAGGTAAAGGCAATCAATAGGTCAATGCGCTAGACCTCGCGTGGTCCTACCTCATTTCCCAGTGTCCCTGGGCTGAGGTGGAACCCAATAAATGTTTCTTCAAGGACCAAGGGACACCACTTGCAATGTGACCACCACATCACATGCCACATCCTGCCTTCATATACACATGCATGTTCCCAGGGTCCCATTGCATTTATTTTCCAGAGCGGCTGATGTTACACAATTTGAAGAGCATGTTACAGCTATCAACAGCATATCAGGTAAACAAACTGTGATTTATGCACACAATGAACCCCTTGCAGCCTCACCATGCAGCAGGAGAAAAGGACGAGAGAGAGGTCCATCTGTGCTGTGGGAATCAGCGGTGTGATCTGCCACCAAGTGAAAAGGGGGCAGATGGAAAGCAGGTATATATGTGCATGTGTGCACTGAATAGCTTGCTAGAAGAAACCAATAATAATGGCTACTTCAGGATCATTTCAATAGATAAAAAAAAAAAGGCATTTGGTGAAATGCAATGTTGCTTCATGATAAGATCACTCAATAGTCTAGGTATTGAAGTGGGGGCCCTTTTCTGGAATCCAATAGTTCAATAGTTCAAGGCCATCCTTGGCTACATAGTAAGTTTGAGGTGAGCCTGGGATACATGAGCTGTTTCTTCAAAGGAACAAAGGAACAAATAAAAAATTAGGAGGGCTGATAAGATGACTCAGCAGGTAAAGTGCATGTCCTACAAAGCAGATGGCAAGAGTTAAATCCCTAGAATCTACATAAAGGTGGAAGGCAGGAATTGATGTTAAAGTTGTCCTGTGACCTATGGTATATATGAGTATGTGTGTACATATACATAATAACAATAATGATAATAGGAAAGAAACAAACAAAAATCCCCAAAGCAAAATCCAAAAACAAAAATAATCAAAAAAGCTAAGAATTAAAAGGCACCTCAGCTGGGCAATGGTGGCACACACCTTTAATCCCAGCATTCGGGAGGCAGAAGCAGGCGGATCTCTGTGAGTTCGAGGCCAGCCTGGTCTACAGAGCTACTTCCAGGACAGGCTCCAAAGCACTCTCAAAAACAATAAATAAATAAACGAATAAGTAAATAAAAGGCACCTCAGCTTGATGAAGGACATTTGTGCAAACCCTCCTTGGACTAGGGATGTAGTTGAAGTTGGCTGAGAGCTTGCCTAACAGGAGGAAGCCCTGGGTTCAACCCCAGCACCATAAAAAACTATGGTTGGTGGGGCACAACTGCCAACCAGAAGTTTAAAAGTAGAGACAGAAGAAGTTCAAGGCCATCTTCAACTACATGGAGAGTTTCAGCCTGTCTATGTGAGACCCTGTCTCAGAACAGAGAGGAAAGGGAGGAAGGGACGGCGGGAGTGAGGGAGGTAGGAAGATGAAAACCTCACCGCTAATGTCCTCATCAACATCGAAAAAGACCCTATGTTTCTCTGCAGTCAAGAACAAGACAAAGACATTCACTGTCACTACTGTAGCACTAGATTGCAGTCAGTGTGACCAGATAAGAAAAAGAAATACAGCCAGGCAATGGTGGTGCACACCTTTAACTCCAGCACTCAGGAAGCAGAGGCAGGTGGATATCTGTGAGTTCAAGGCCAGTCTGATCTACAGAGTGAGTTCCAGGACAGCCAGGGCTACACAGAGAAACCCTGTCTCAAAAAACCAACCAAACAAAACAAAACAACAGCAAAGATGGAACTGTATTCCTATTCACTTGCAATGAGTGGCCTCAAACTGAATCTAAGAAAAGTGTAGTGTGTGGCATCGTTAGTAGCGTTTCCTCCCCAACAGGGGGCCCCTGAAAACTGGATGCCCACTGTGCTGTTGAATGGGTGAAAGCATGTTAAATATAGCTTATCTGATTCAGTAACCTTAGAAAACATTCATAGGAACTTCAGGCTTTACCTGTAAGTCTCTGAAACACACACACACACACACACACACACACACACACACACACACACCAGCTAGATGGATCAGCAGGTAAAGGTATTTGTGATGATCTGAGTTCAATCCCTGGGACAAATATGGTGAAAGGAGAGAACTTACTCCCACAGTTGTCTTCTGTTCTCTACATGCACACCATTGTGTGTGTGTGTATGTATGTGTGTGTGTGTGTGCATGTACATAGGAACATACATATAACACATGCATTAAATAATTATGTAAATATAATGATGATGGTGATAATGATGGTTTTTAAAAAGCCAGACAGGTGTGGTAGGAAGATGTCAAGGCAGTAGAGCTGTTATTCTAAGGACTCCATAACAAACTCATTCCAATCCCCATTTCTGAGCTTCAACTACATGCCAAGTTTTGAGCTAATACTTGATCCTTCCTTCTGCCAGAAGCCCAATGAGGTCAGGCACAGCCAGGCTGCTGATGCAGATGAAAAGCAGGAGATGCTGCTGGGTGTGTGGTATATGCCTGTAATTCCAGTTCTTGGGAGGTGGAGTCAAGAGAATCAGGAATTCAAGGACAGTTTGAGCTGTATAGAAAATTTGAGGCCACCCTGAGCTATATACATGACATTCTCCCCACTCTCCCCCTCCAAAAAACAAAAAGTAGCATGACTGTGAGAAGTGAGGGAACATCCTGGTCTCCTCTATGTCAAGGCAGGCCTTGGACCCTGCAGTTCTGCTTAGAACCACCCTCCCCTTCTTTATGAAAACTTTTATTTATTGAACATCTATGTGTAGGGAGCTTTCTTGTTTATTATCGCTAGTTCCATTGTCAAGGTTTATATCCACTGTCAACTTGACAGTGCTCAGAATCATCTGGGAACCAGCCTTTAGTTGTGCCTTGTCAGATTTACTTGATTAGGTAAATTGAGATAGAAAGATTCACTCTGAAAATGGGTGGCACCATATTGAGGCCAGCCAGTTGTATACAATGAGATCCTGTCTCCAAGTAGAGGATAGATAGATAGATGGATGATAGATGATAGGTAGATTGGAGGATAGATAGATGATATAGATAGATAGGATAGATTCATAGATGATAGGTAGCTAGATAGATGACAGGAAGAGAGATGATAGCTGATATAGATAGGTAGATAGAATAGACTCATAGATAATAGGTAGATAGAGAGATGGAAGGAGATAGATGATAGGTGAGATAGATATAGGATAGATTAATAGATAATAGGTAGTTAGAGAGATGGAAGAATAGATAGATGATAGATGGTAGGTAGATAGACAGAGCTGAGTACCAGCATCCATCATCATTTTATGCTTCCTGACTGGATGCAGTGTGACCAGCCATTTCACTGTCCTGCCACCTTTCCTCCCCTGATTTGATGGACTGTACCTTTAAACTGGTCCAGAATAAACCCTTTCTTTCTTAAATTGCTTTGGTCAGGGTATTTTATGACAGCACCAGGAGAGTAATGAACATGTCTAGCAATAACCCTGGCAGGAAGGCCAAAGGAAGATGTAGGCACTGATGTCTGGAGCCTGAATGTGAGATGCCTCTGCCCACTCCACCCCCACCCAGGGCTCACTCAGCTCAATACATTTTAATTGAATGAATTAATAGCATAGTGAACCAGTGATGTGGGCAAGAATTCAGAAGCTATTAGATATATGAGGAAAGAGCCATAGGGGAGCTTAGAGCAGAAGTGGGTTTTTAACCACACAGGATTGCAATGTTTGTTCCGTGCAACTCATCTGCTGAGATCCTAACCCTGAGGTGATAATAGTATTTGGAGCTTGTTTTCAGCCATTTCGGGTCTTTAAGTCATGTGGTGTTGATTAGGTCATGTGGGTGGAAACTTTGTGAAGGGAATTAGTGCCTCTATAAAAAACCAAGGGGGTGTTCAGCCTCCCACCTTATGAGGACACAGGGCAAGGAAGAGGGAAGGCAGCACCTTGTCCCAGAAAGACATTAAATCTGTGATGCCTGGATCTTGGACTGCCAGCTTTGAAAACTGAGAGAAACCATTGTTGTTTATAAGTTACTCCGTCTCTCCGTATTTTCTCTTAGCACCTTCACTGGAGTAAGTTGTACTTTTTAATTGAAATACATTTATTTGAAAGAAGACTTTGTATCACTGAGGCTAGAGGCTGAATGCATTGGAAACAATCTTTATGTTATCTGCTCTGGACCTGGGACCTGTCTCCCTAAAAGACTGCTTAGACAAGTATTAAACATCCAGCAGCACCACCCAGGCAGGACTGTGGTTTCACTGTGCCAGCTGTGGAGGACAAACTGGGGAGTGGGAAGGCTCAGAAGCACGAAAACCAGGGAGGGAGTTAACATTTCGGTCTCTTCCCAGCCCACGCAAGGCTTGCAGGGTCCAGGACTAGACACTGCCCATCATTCAAGGAGAGAACATCCTCTGGGTTTTTCCAACCATTTTCTGGCCAGAGTTCTGGCTCATCATGCTGCCTGGGTGTTTATGACTTTTCTGCCTCAGTAGATAAGGCTGGTCTTGGGAAACCTCATTAAACTACACAGGCAGTTTGACTCATTGGCTCCCATAGGAGAGATGAAAACAGAACTCCCATTAGGGAACTTTGAACCTGGCTTTGAGTTGTGGGACCCCCGTAGCAGGGCAGGTGTCTACAAGGCTGCTCTGTAGGAACATAAGAGGTGGACTCATTGTCCTTGTCCTGGCAGCACCTCAGACCCCCGCATCACCAAGCAGTTTCTGTGACCTTCTGGAGTCTAAAGTGAGGTCAGTTGAGGGTAATAGCAAAAGACCGTGTATTAGGGCAGCCATGGCCATTTATTAATGTGTGAGGCATTTGGCAACATGCCAGGCTTCTGGTAGATTCTGGTAGTGCATGCCTATGCTAGCCCTTTCAGGTAAGCTCAAAAACAGCTTTGGGGCCATTGCAGTGACAGAGTGAGTAAAGGTGCTTGTTGCTAAGTCTGATGATCTGAGTTAATCCCTGGAACCTACACGATAGAAGGAGAGAACTGAATCCTGCAAGTTGCGCTCTGACCTCCCTACGTGCACCTTGCTGTGCACATTTACAGTCACACACAATAAATAAATACAAAATCAGACAAGAGATGAAAGCCAAGGGGAGTGGTGGTTGTAAGCCTTCAAATCCTTGCTTCTTTAGAGGCTGAGGCATCCCTGAAGGATGAGTCAGCATTGCCATCTGGTCACATCTCAATAGGGAATTAGTGTGTCTGAGGACAAGAGCTAGGGAGATAGGGGAGGAGTGGACCCTTGAGGCTGGGGGTTAGGGGAGATCCCAGGGTGCCAGGAGGTGGGGGAGGGGAGCTGTTAACACAGAGCATCAGAACCAACTACCCCACGCCTGTCTCCTCTACAGCAGACAAGCAGTATCATCCTTGAAGGGACAGACACAGCCCACAGGCTACTGAACACAGCTGGGCATCTACCAACCAAAGGGACAATAACCATCCAAGCTGAAAATAACAGCTATCTCATTTCCAAATTAACCCTGTCTGTTCCATTGTCTGTGTCAGCTCTGTGTGGCTGGGAGGTGAGCCCAGTAGAGGCAGGTGCTGCTAGCATCCATCAAGGTCACATTTCCCAGGCAGATCAGCCCCATATTCCAGCTGCTGCCTGTGTTGCTGATAATGGCTCCAATCGCCTCTTCCTGTGGAAACTGCCTTCCATGCATGGAGGTCAGTTTGCTAGGCCTCCTCTTGTAAGTGGATAGGCAATGAGCAGCCAGCCCAGGGGTGCAAAAAGGCCAATGATCTTCCTCAGTCTGGCACGCAGAGTCTCCAGTGAGAGCAGGCTGTGGCTCTAGCAGAGACCTCACCCTTTTGTTCTTCTCTTGTTGGATGCTATTTCCCTGCCTCCCTTTCCAATTGGGGCTTTCTCTCTGTAGATTACTTGAAGAAACCTCGCTGGAGGTTCTGGTAGCAAACCCCACCTAGACAGCTCCATTGAGCAAGTATACCACTTCTAGCTTTTTTCACCTAGTTGCAAAACAGGTAAAAAAATGAATGCATGCACATCTGGAGACACCAGAAGAAGGAAAGGAGAGAAGGCCCTAATATGTGTCAGGCCAAAGAGGCTGCACCTGTTGAGTACCTTCCCCAAGCTGCAAAGCATCTACCAGCTAAGGTAGGGTGGGGCAAGAAGGCCAGCTTCCCAAATCACTGCTGTGCTCTGTGAGTTGCTGTTGGATCTCCTATCCCAGCTTCCCTCACTTCAGCTGCCAGGGTCATTAAAGGATCGGACCACCTGAAGCTGATTACACCATATCTGTTTACCAAACCTGTAAAGAATCTTTATTATTTACAACAATGTAAGGGCTGTAACTGAGGCTCAGGGGTTAAGAGCGCTTTCTGCTCTTGCAGAAGATCCAAGTTCAGTTCCCAACACCCATATTAGGCAGTTCACACCCATCTGTGACTCCAGCTTCAGGGATTCCATGAGTACCTGTACTCACATATATATACATACTTAAAAATAACACTTGAAAATAATGTGAACAATATCTAGGGATTGGAAAGTTGACTTAACAGTTAAGAGCACTGGATACTCTTCTAGAGGCCCCCAGTTTTATTTCTAGCGTCCACATGGAGGCTCACAACCATCTGTAATTTGGGTCCCAGGGTATGCAATGCCCCCTTCATGTCTCTGTAGGTATTGCACACAGGTGGTGCATACAAGCAACACACTCCCATACTTAAAAGAAAACCCCCTAGCAACAACAAAACAATGTTTAATCGTGTCCTCTCCACCCTTGGGAGAGAGGCTGGTAAAACACCCAAGACAAATATCTAAAGCCTGATGATCATAACAAAAAAAAGAGTGACAGGTGATTGCTGAGCTCTTACCTATGGGGACAGAGGAGATCTGAGAATACAGGTCCAACATTCGGTTGCCGTCCACATCCACTAGGTAGTTGCCTCTGCTTTCTTCATAGTTGCAGAAAAAGTGTACCGCCTCTGCGTTCTTGGGAAAGAGGACACTGGTTCAGGCTGGCTACTACTCCCCAGATTCATAGCTTCTTAGGAATAAGCTTGGAGTGTGGAAACAGATTGCACCCCTATTTGTTCTATACCACATGGGAATCTGGGTGCTGACATGCTTCTATGTCTTTCTCTGGGGAAGATGACACTAGTGGCTTGCTTGAAATTCATTTCTGAAGCCATAATCTTGTGTTTTGTGAAATTTTATGTCTGGATTGTTTATCACAACAAAAAAATGTTGAGAAGTAACTCAGAAGCAAGTTCTGACAAGTTAAAGAATGTGTGGGAAGCCTCAGAGAAGCCACTAGGAAAACTAGAAAGAAATAGAAATTAAGAAATAAAAACATGGGCTAGAGAGATTGCTCAGTGTGAAGAACTTGTATTGCTTATGCAGAGGACCTAAGTTGAGTTCTAAGCACCCATGTGAGATGGCTCACATCTGCCTGCAACTTCAGCTCCAGAGGGATCTGATTCTCTTTCCTAGACTCCGTGAGCAACTACACATATGCATATACACATACAGGCATGCACACATAAATAAAATCATAAAAAAAAGAAACTGTAGAATCACCTTATGTCCACTTACCTGGATTGTATTCAGCTGTTTCATTAACTCCTGTAGGCAAGATGAGAAACATTAGCCATGGATGTCACACTCTTGCCAAAGTGGCTTAAACATCTCTCATGCTTTCCCAGTTACAGAGGCTTTGTCTTCCACTCTGATGCCAATAACTTGATAGACTATTAGTCAATATCTTAAGTAAATATTTAAGAATTACTTAATACAAATAATTGCTACAAATCTACTCCACACACAGTAAGGGGTCAGGACAACAGACAGATCAGAGATTAGGATTTAAATACCTGGGAAAGAAAAGGAAGTGAAAATTTATTTTCTTTTCTTTTTGAGACAGGGTCTAATTGTGTAGCCCTGGCTGGCCTAGAACTCAGTAAGTACACTAGGTCATCCTCAAACTTACAATGATATGCCACCTCTATTTCAGAGTTCTGGATCAAGGGCTTTGGGCCACGACACCCAGTCTGAAGGAATTTAATTTTGTCTGTGGTGCTGGGGACAAAACCCAGGGTCTTGCCCATGCTGGGTGAGTGCTCTGCCATTGGGCTCCATTACAGCCCTCATTTTATTTGACATTTTTATTTATTTTATCTTGTTTGTAGGCAGATATACATCTACCACGTGACAGGATAATTTGTAGGAGTCAGTGCTTTCCTTCCACCATATGGGTTACTAGGAATCAACCCAGGGACAGGCTTAGTGGCTGGCACCCATGTCCTCATTTTAAAAAACCTCAGTCAGGCTAAAGAGGTGCTCAAGTGAAGAGCACTGAACCAGGTTCAGTTCCCAGCATCCACATGGCAGCTCATAACTGTCTGTAACTCCAGTCTCCGTGCGCATTGCATGCACACAGTACACAGACTTACATCTGACAAAGCACACATGCACATAAAATTACTAATTAAACGCTCAGTGCTAAAGCATTTGCCAAGTGTGCACAGGGCCCTGCATTTGAATTTGATCTCCAACACTAATGAACAAAAGAAAGAAAGGATGCAACTCCCTTATCAGCAACTGAGGGTGAAATAATTAACAACATTCATTTTCTCAACAAGAACCACTTGTGATTACAATTCACTTTCCCCTATTCCAAGCAGAAATTAGGAATTGAAAGCCAGTTGCTTTGATATTAGCAAGATTTCAGCCCCCCAAATAATTCATCATAAAAGGGACTTCAACAGTTAGCATCTTGACATTACATGTTTCCACACAAAAATTTAAAATAATATTAACAGCAAAAAATGAAAAGCTATTCTAGTAATTTCTCTATTAAATTAGAGTCCACCCCAAAAGAATGTGCACAAAAAGCTCTAAAACCATCCAAAATAAATAGAAATACTTAGATTAAGACAAACATTTCAGAACTAAGAAAATAGATGCTATGGCAAAAGGAATGATCTTCTTACAGCAAATAAGACAGCATCCCACTGTGGAAAGAAATACGCTAAGTCAGAGAAAACAAACCTGAAGCATTGAAAGGTTTGTGCCACATCTCTTGCCTAGAAGACAACGCCTATTTGTGTTATGGAAACAGCTTCCCAGGTATCTTAGGCTGCTTTCACCTCCCAAGTGCTGGGATTAAGGTGTGAGCCACCATCCCAGCTTGAATATTTTCAAGCTGGGCTTGAAGGCCCCAGCTTATTATTATTACTATTTTAAATAATACAAAGTTAGAACACAAAGTAATGAATCTCATCACAGCATCTTTGTTCCCATTTTCCCTTGCCTTCACTCCACACCTGCATGCGTCTGTCTCTGGCTCCTTTCTGTCCTCCCCCCCCCCCCATTCTGCTTTGTTGTACAGATCACCTTTATCATGTTACAGTTACATTTATCTTTGTCTCAACTTCCATTGTCAATTATGAGTTCAGCCCCAGCCCTTAATTCTGGACAGACAGTGATGCAAGTGACTCTATTGGTCAGTAGAGTAAGGTGGGCATCTGAAAGCCAGTGTGGGGCTTCAGTCTCAATAGATTTAATAGCAGTCTCAATAGCAAGATCAGAATAAGCACAGTGTGACAAGCTGGAGGGACAGGGACTCATGGAGCAGAGGCAAGTCACTGCAGATGTAAACTGCACCAGCTGCCAGCCAGTCACACCTTAGGCCTGCAGATGGCTCCAGCAAGGCCACCTTCCTAACTGCTGGTTAGCTCTAAATGCATGAGCAATCTGAATGTCACATGTTCCCAGTCTGTGACTGACTGTTAGGCAACATTCTCATGACAGTAGACATGAGACATTCTTGAAACCTTCACAGTGGCCTGGTCATTTTCACACACATCTCTAGTGGGAGGCTCTGAAAGTACCCTTAAACTGTCTGTGCACCTACCTGCTGGTGTGTCACACCTGGCCCAGGTGTGGTTGACTCACCTGAGATCTAGGCCCGGGGACTTCTGTCTTCATGAGTGGCCCATCATAATCAAATTCGATGTCAACTTTGGCAGCAGCTTGACTGATGTATCTGGATCCTGCAATACAGAAGATAAATGAGAACCCCTGGTGACAAGACAAGGAGGATGAGCCCCAACAGATGCCCCCAGTCCTTAAGGGTGGCCCCAGGATCTCAGCATTGTTCTGACCAGGCCATCCAGGAACACTGAAGCTGAACAAATCAGACACTGTGAGAACAACGAGGATCCTCAAACTGGGAAAAGCCACGGACAGTAAGGTTATAGGAAATGCTCCCCTCTTGAGGGAGCACGACCAGCTGACCCAGCTTCCTGTTTCATGTGCATTTGCTGGCTTGTCCGATGTGCACAATATGTGCAGGGCCTAGAGGCCAGGAGGTGTTAGAATCCTTGGAACTGGAGTTAGAACTCCAAGGTAGTTGTGAGCTGAGTGGTGTAGGTGCTGGGAAACAAACCCAGGTCCTCTGTAAGAGCAGCCAGTACGCTTATCTGATGAGTCATCTCCCCAGCCCCCCATTTCACTTTTTGAAGACACACAGCAAGAAAATGGTGGGCCCAGGGTACTAAGCTCTTAAGATGTGGGAGGCCCTAGGTCCCATCTCTCTCTCTCTCTTTCTCTCCCTCCCTCCCCCCCCCTCTCTCTCTGTGTGTGTGTGTGTGTGTACACACCCGCGTGTGCAGGCACACACAAGTGTAATACAGTGTGGACTGGAGGTCAGCAGACAACTTTTGGAAGTTTGTTAGTTTTTTCCCTCTCACTGTAGGTTCAGGGATTGAACCCAGTGTTACTCTTGAGTGGCAAGTGCTTTCACCTGCTGGGCTATCCTGCCAGTCTTGAAGCTTCTTTCTAGGGGTTGCAGAGATGGCTTAGCTGCTAAGAGCACTTACTGCTCTTGCAGTTAGACTCACCAAGGTTGCCTCAAACCCAAGTCTGCCTCATCCCAGAGGAAAAGGCAGCTGTGTGCTGGACCAAAAATAAGATGCCAAGATTAACAGTGACTCCTAGGAGTCCCCTTTGTGTTGTTGCTTATCTTAACCTTCATGGCATGTTAGTGTCTCTCACTGGGTTCCCATGTTGTTGTAACTATATCAAAGATCACTAGACATATAGGTAACTGTACTTATCCCTATATAGATGCACATATATATTTACTATCTATTATCTGTCTTCTACTGTCTATTTATATCGTCTATTACTTTTTCTTCTATCTTCTATCAATCATATACCTATTTCTTCATTTACATATGTATTATCTATCTATCTATCTATCTATCTATCTCTATCTATGGCCTATCATCTTTCAAATCTCTAGGGTCTGAAAGAATGGCTTAGTAGTTGCTTGTTGCTTTTCCAGAGGACCTGAGTTTGGTCCATTCACAATTCCCTATAATTCCAGCTCCAAGAAATCTGTTTTCTTCTGGCTTCTGAGGATAACTGGACACACATGGCATAAACACACACAGATACAAATGCACATACATAAAAATAAATCTTTTCAAAAAAATCAATCTATTACTCATCTATCTACCTACCTATCCACCATCTATCATCTATGTATCTCACTGTCCCCATTTCATAGGACAAAATCCTAGAGCTCAGAGATATTGAGCTAGGAAAGCTCTAGAAGCAGTCAGATCCTTCTATCCTCAAGGACTCTGACCAGAGAGCCCCTTGTGTTCACTGTGTCTCTTGGGGAGTGGGTCATGTCAAGACCTTGGTGGCTTACCAGATATGAAGAGGTTTTTCTGGGAGCTGCAGGCCACCCGCTGGGAGAGCAACAAGAAGGCCATGACCCTTCCTTCAGGAAGAGTATCCCTTCACTTGCAGCTGTCCTGAAAGAGACCAAAACACAGACTTAGGCCCTCTGGGACCACAGCCTGCAACAGGCATCTAAATCCACCATTGCCCACTTGATGGAGAAGGCTCTTGGGATACAAATTCCTTTGCTGTATGCCAAGTACTCTTTAATCAAGCACATTTTGTGCTGAATATACACTTTAATTTACAAGCTTTTTTTCTGCTATCTTCCACACTCCAGACAGGATGAGCTTATACACTTTCTAGGTGGAAAATAGAAGCCCAGACAAATGGTTCAATTAGTCAAGTGTTTGCTATGCAAATACAAGGGCCTGAGGTTGGTCGATAGAACCAACCATGACAAAGAGCTGGGTGTGGTGGCACATGCTTCCCCAGTGCCAGGGAAGTGGAGACAGGTGGATTCCTTGAGGCTCACTGACCAGCCAGTATAACCAAATCAGTGAGCTCCAGAGTCAAAACACAATGTGCGAAGTGACTGAGGAAGACATCAAAGATTGACCTCTGGTTTCCACACACCCTTGCCATGTGTATACCAGTACACACACACACATACACACACACACATACACACACACACACACACTAAACTCAGAAAAAATTGGATTTAGAGCCCCCTAACTGAGGACAAGTGTGTGTTGGGGGTGGGAGGGAGGAAATTCAGACATCTCTGATGACCCAGTGAGGGACACTCAGAACTCTCTAACCTGTTCCTACATGGAACATTAGTCCCTGGGCTGCACAGGGAGCCTACACATCCAGTGTGTGTTGGGGGGTGGACAGCTGGTGCCCATTTCATAGGCCACACTATCTTAGGATGACAAACTGTCCAAATATGCTTGGAATGGGGAGATTCCTAGCACATGAAACTTTCCATTTTGAAAACAAGGCAGTCCTGGGCTATTGGCACTGTCACCCTATCTGTCACCTCCTGACTGAGGCTCTTCTTGGCTGTGTGTATATAGCTAACTGCTATATACCGTTAGGGCAAATCCAAGTCCCTTCTCCCATAAATGAAGAGGGTCAGTGGTGTTCCCTGATGCAAAGGAAACAGGAATAAGAGGGAGGAGTCCCTACCTGAACAATGCCTTGGTAAGCAAGTGTAGAGATTTCTTTGCAGCCTGAACACCTTTGTTTAACTTGCCAGTATTAACTGGAGAAGTTCCTTTTGTTTGTGGACAGAGTTCTTGACGGACACTGGACAGTAGCAGATTCTGTGATCTTTATATATTGTCTCTGGTAGGAGCCATCCCAGATCCAGCTGTGCTGTTTCTGGAGACCTTAACTACTCTGGTGGAAAGGCTATCATGTGACTGTGTACTGAAATGCTCCACAGGGTACACTGTCTGGCTCCAGACATCTGACAGTAGTCCATCTAATAGGGACCCCCCACTTCAGATCTGAGGAAGGGCACTCTCAGGGGTGAGCACATTGGTCATGGGACTGCCTGACCCCCCAAACATTACTGTGTGTGTAATAGACTAATTCAGTTAACCTAGCTAGACAGAGGACTTGAAGGAAAGAGGGTGGGGGGGGGAGACCTAGTTTGAGGCTGGGCATGGCAGCTCATGACTTTAATTCTAGTGCTTAGGAGGAAGAGGCGGGCAGACCTCTGTGAGTTAGAGTTGCTCTCCACAGTGAGAACTATCCAGAAGTTGCACACTGAGATCCTGTCTTAAGAGGAAGTCATTCAGAGAATCCATTTTATTTCTTTTCATAACAGAAAAACTGGGGAGAAAACACCAGGCTTTAACACTGTGACCATAAATTAACTTGGAAACCATTTCCTTCTCTTGACAATTTAAGGAGTTTTTAAAAAGTTGATTCTAATATATCCAACTCTGGCAAACCTATTAATTCAGCAACAAAGTAACTATGTAAGGAAAGCAGTCACCACCTCTCACTGAAGGCCCTGAGACATCACATAATTCAAGCCTCTTCCATTAAATATGTTTTTGAAGGGCTGGAGAGATGGCTCAAAAAGATCCTCCTACCGAAGATCTGGGCTCAATTCCCGGCACCCACATGATGGTTCCACACCATTGTTAACTCCAGCTCCAGGGATATGCTGTCCTCTTCTGACCTCAGGCACCAAGCACATATGTGGCACATGCACATAGATGCAGGCAAAACACTCACACATAAAGTGAAATTAATACATTTGATTTTATAAATAATGTTTTTGAGAATTCATGAATCTTGAAGGACTTGAGCATGAGCATTTGAATAGCCCCTCAAAGTAAGAGTCTCACCCATGCACTTTCAATGACAAGTCACTTTGGAAAACATATCCTAGTGACGTGTGACATTTCAGTGCCCTGCAGCTGAAACTAATCTTATAACAAAACACAATCTCTGTCAGACATTCTCAGAAGAATTCATGTTGTTCATTCACTTTCTTGCTCAATAATTCAATCAACAGAAGTCAATTAGGTGGCTGTTTAGGCAAGGCACTGAATCACTTAGGCATAGGAGAAGGAAATCAGATAAAACGCGTCCATAATTCTTTGGCAGAAGACTATGAGTGGAGAAAGGGTGGGAGAATTCAATGTACTAGGTTGCTTTATTCATCCTGTCATGAACTTCTTAAAATAACCCGGAAAGGTATGCACAAAAAAAAAAATTTCCAGTTCACTGTCAACAATGAACTTCACAAAGCATGAAATGGAAAGCCTGGCACTTGTAAACCCAGCATTTGGGAGGAAATGCAGGAGGACTGTATGTTCAAGGCCAGTCTAGACTACATGGCAAGGTCAAGGTCAGCTGGTGATGCACTGTAAGGCAGTGCTTGCCTCAAGAAGAAAACGAAGCAACCAAATAAGTCCAGCATAGAATCACACACACATACACGTGTGTGTGTGTGTGTGTGTGTGTGTTCACATGTGTCCTGAGCTGCAAAGTTAAGTAGATTCTAAAAACCAAAGAAGAAAGGGGAGTTCAGATGAGCAGTGCTCAGTGAAGTCAGATGTGGGGGACAGTGAAGGGAAGATCCAGGTAGTGGCAGAGCCTGACATGACCTGAGTGGGAGGGATAGGATTTGCTGGAGCTCACTCCACATACAGTGTCCATTCTGACTTATGTGGAGAAACATCTCCAGGAGAAGAGCCTATCCAGCCATGCTTTCAGGTTTCCTGAGAGGAGTAGAAGACATGCATAAAGCCCATCTATTGGACACCAGGGTCACCATGAGCTCATAAAGTAAGCTTGTTGTGGGACATTGATATGGGGGAGGGGAAGAGAAGGCTGGG